GAAGGCATAAGCAGGGCAAGCACAGTCCCCTCTCAAGAGGAAACTGAGTCACTTTGTGTATCCAAGAGACAAATGTAGCGTTAAGAGAATGCGAGACTAGAGATTGGACTGAAGTGCTGAAGCTTAGTCTCCACTTTGAACAGAGGCCTTTAGGACCCATGGCTGAGACCTCCTATACTACTGATGCTGGAACTGCCGGAATGGGGTCTGTGCTGGGAACTTACTGTGGAAATCAAGGATTTGAATAAAAAATTCAGAAGGATCATAACTAAGATTATAGGAGACTGGATGGTGGAACGAATAACCAAATTTCTCATTTCTCCCGAATTTGTTACTTTTCATATTACAAAATATATTTCTGGTGCTGAAATTCTACCTGGGAATGCACATTCCATAGTAAGAAATATAAACACAATAATTTTGCCCTATTTATTTTATAGGTGTCATCCTTTGGTGTTTTTACTCTATAGTATGCTGTATTCATAATAACTTTGGACAACATATATATGTGTCACTCTTTAAAAAAAGAACTATTTGTATTTATAACTGCATCTACTTTTTTTCTTTTTTTTTTTTTTTTGCATCTCTGATATATTTTGAAGAAGTATAGCTTGTTTCTCAGATGAAATTTGGGCCAGATCTATTTTGTTTTTTGTTTTAGTTTCATCACTTACAGTAGTTCCCTCTCCCTTATTCTCCCTCCAGGGGCAGATCAAGTTTGTTAACATTTAAAAAATACTGGAAAATACTGGAAAACTTAGAGGTGTTCTGTAAACTGAATTGCTTAGAGTTGTTGCAAAACATGTTGACAAATTAAATCCCTCAACTGAGACGGTATGAATTTCTGTCGTCTTTGCCATCCAAAAATCTAGTTTTAATGAGGACTATCATATTCAGAACTGAACGTATTATTTTCCCAGGCTTTTCTGAAATAATGTTTCTTTTCCTGCCAGCTGCTGACAGACAGCAGAGCCTCTTTTTACCTCAGAAAGGCTATTGAATTTCACCTCTGCATTGACAAGGTTTCTGTTAATTTGTCCACTGTGTTCTTAGCTAAAGTTTGAAACCACTCCTTCACCCACCTAATATAATGGTAGACAATAACAATAAAACAGAACCGTTCACCGCTACTATGCCATCGCCAGTCTCTTGTTAAGACTCAGTTGGCTAGGGCTGAACCCAGTGGTCCTCCGTTGATACACTATGCCCATGAGCAATTCCTGAGTAAATACTATGGGACAACAAATTGAGACCTATGTGCTACAGTGAATTTGTTATGGGTGCGTGCCTGTACCTGTATCAAGGCCCACTGAAGTCAGCATGCACCTGAGCCCAGCTCGAAGCCTCCCTGTGCAGGGCTCATCACATGGTGATGGCACCAACAATACAGTGAAAGCTGCAATAAGGAAAAATCCTGAAATTTCCTAAGATAAATTTGTTTCTTTCCTTAAAGCTACCTCTATCCCGCAAGTGAGTTTTGCTTGTGCTTTGGATAGTCACTTGACAGGTTTCACTGTGTAAATCTGTGTGCATATACATAAGCTGTCTTCATCTCTCAGGATAAGCAGGTATCTTCTGTGCAGAGAGGCAATGCTTACAAAAGGACATCCATTATCATAACAAATACAGAGAGAGCAGAAGACAATGTCCCTCGCTTTTTAATAGAAGAAAGTAACTATATAAGCAGAGTGCCACTCGTGTACCAAATGAAACCTGACATCTCTGCTCTTGAAATACAGCTCTCATTCTTTCCTCTCTAATCACTTAGAATAACATTATTTTTAAACGTTGAGAAAGAATTTCTTGACAGTCCATGTTTGGTTTAAATCTATCGTTCCACAGATTCTTTGGCAGCTGATGGCTTGGTTTCACCATTTATAGAACTAAAACTTCATTCTAAAGTTTTGTTGGGTTTTGTCTTTAAATTATGACATGCAGAAGGACAGCCTTCACCTGCTATATTTTCCAAAAAAAAAGATACTGTCTCTTTAATGAAAGAAAAGCATCAATATAATGTATTACCGAATGCAAACGCAATAAGGTATAACATATAGCTCTGGTTATGTTATATGACATTTGGCTTAGCAGTATTAACATATTGCACAAAATCTGGATTTTCCCTATTGCAGAAAATAAGACATAAAAGACATGGGAAATTTCTCTCTTCCATATGATCATAAAATAAATATTCTATTTTTCCTTTTTCTTCTCATCAGTCATTGGCAGAAATATTTTAGTATTACTCCTTTGTTAAGCCAGCTCTTTATCATGTATGTATTAGGCATACAGTACAAAGAGAAATGGAACAAGATGGAAGTTGCAAGTGGCAAGATGCAAATTTATTCTGGAAAAAAAAGTAATATGTGCACAATATCAAGCATGCTTAGGTTTGTGCCAGGAAAACTATTACGAATGAGGAATGAATGGAATGGAATTTAGCATCATACATGATTACATGTTGCTTAACTTCACAGAATAGTCCTTGTCTACTCCTGATGTCCCAGTTGCCACCAAGAGAAGCTGCATACCACACTGCTGGAGTAAAAACGGCAACAGATTCCCTAGCAGTAGTCACCTCTGCAACATGACTCTCTGTTTCAAAAAATTAAGGAAATAGACCTCAAAAAGATGACAGAGAAAATTCACAGACCATTGAACTGCAGGCACTAACTCCAGGTAGGGGGAGGGAGAGGAGTTTATTACAACTTGTGTAATAATTAAAAGTCTGTAATTGTTTTCTGCTTCATTTTGCCTCAGTTTAATTTGGCTACTTTTGCATGTAATGATGTTGTCACTGTTTTTCCTTATGTCTCTCATATTGTATGATGCACGACCAAATGTGGCCTAGCAGTGGAGGAATCATATTTTTCACTGACATGACTTGAAAACATTTTAATAGAAAAATAAGGGATGAAGGATGAAAAAGAGCAGGAGAGAAGAAAGAAAATGTATTAAAGATAGCTCTCTGTAATTTACCATGAGGCAAAACAGAAATAATAACTCTTCTTCCTGTGCCATTTCAATTGGGATGAACCAGACTTGCTACTCTATTGGTACAGTGTAAAAATAGATGACAGTGAGTAACGGTGTGAACAAAAAGATGAGAAACATCACAAAAATGGATGTTGGATGGCCTTTGCACAGCAGAGGTAGATAAAGGTTATAACAAACTGTTTACTGACCATGTACACTTACTAGAATTAAGAGGTCAGTTGAACAAGAGCTCACCTAGTAAGAGCTTTCCCAGTAGTGTGACTCATCAGCTGTTGTACAGTACCAGAGCACTGCCCAGTTATTGCTCCATCATTTTTTAATAACATCTCTGTCCTTTCAAAAGTCTACATTCTACCATTAGTTAAGGCTTTTTCATTTGCATTTCTACATTTTCCCGAATTTTGCATCAATTCAATATAATTAATACATGTGCCTCTAACAGAAAATAAAATAACTAAAAAGCACCATGTTTTATTGAACAAAATATAGCATGTGCAAGGAAGGGAAGGGAGGAATTATAGAAACAAACAAGTGTCGAAGAATTTTGCATTAGCTGGTGCTTTTTGTTGCCATGTTTGCACAGATCATTTTAGGCTCCTCAGTCCAGGTTGTAGTAAAACACTATCAAAACAAATAGTTTTGCAAAATATTTGAGCTTTTGCAGCTTAACATGTGCATCTTGAACCGCTTAAGCAGCATGGTCATCTTTTTTTTTTCCTCCAGAATTTAACGGACCATAAAGTGTATACAAAAAAGCATTATGCACCAGTGATTAAATGTTCTTGCAACATTAATATTTATCAAGGGGTATTTCATATCTAGAAAGTAGGTAACTATATTTTATTTCCTAAGAGAACATTTTCTATAGTTTTCCTTCGTCTCCCAGCTACACAGCAAACATCTCTAAAGTGCACTTCCCAAGTGTAGTTAGAGAATAGGAAGGAATGTAAAGTTTTTAAAAACAGCCCTTATTAACTTTTCCTTCCATTGATTCTACTGTAAACTCTAAAAAGCCTTTTTAAAAAGCAAATTCTCATACACTCAGCAGGTGAAATGTTCCCACAAAACTAAAAGTAAACAAATTAAAAATCACCCCAAACAATGAAAAAATCAGCAATCATATTACAATCTTTTGTCTTGACTACTCATATCCTAGAATATCCTTACTAGTTTTATTGCACATTTATGAAAATGGTTGTCAATATATTTTTAAAAAAATTTATCTGTGCTAACACATTCTTGTGCACCCTTAATGACTAGATTAACTTTCCACAACACATAGATACTAGAAAAACAATGAACTCAAAACTGAAAAGATACTTTGTATTGTAGATGCTCAAAGGCTTCTAGTGTAACTTTTTGAGACAAAAAGACTTGGATTTCGGAAGCTCTTTGCTTCCATTCTTCATGAAGGCTGCTGGTTATATGACAGCAGGAGAACTCAAAACGTAATTCACAATGAATGCCAATCCTTCACCTCCAATATGAAGGCTTCCCAACTACTCAACTTGCTGAGCATAACTGGTTTTACATAGCATATCTAAAAAAGGCTGCTCCTGTTCAACTGACCAGTGAGAAAGGACTGGACTTCTTCAAAACGGGTATTGGAGCAACAGTTTGTTATATATATCTTTACATTTTTTAACTGTCCAATCCCACCTTGTAAGGAGAGCACTTGTTTGCTCAGCTAAAAGGAACCCTCTTCATGCTCCTTTTGGGTTTGCTCAGTCAACTGGTTTGTGCAAGTGGCAGAGGCACACTGGAATTGTGTACCCATTCATTGTGATTACACAGACAAAAACAAATGTATGCTGTCTGTGACGGGAGATGGGAAGAGGAAAGGAGATGAATGGTTCCCATGGGTAAGAGGACAGTTAGGTTGTTTTGGGTTTTTCTGTGATTGTTTTTTTTTTCTTTTTTTTTCTTTTTTGTTAAATTTTGTTGTTCTTTTTATGTTTTTTTTTCTTGTTTTGTAGGTTTTTTAGGTTTTTTTTAGTTTTTTTTTTTTTTTTTTTTTTTGCTATGTCATGGAATCATAGCAGCCATTCCTCTAATAGAAACTGACAGGACATAAAAGACAGAACTATCAGATGAACACACACAATGACTAGAAATATATTGACAGAGAAAAGACTTAATTTAGCTTTGAGAAACCGTCCCAAAAAATAAAATCCTGTATTAACAAGTGCAAAAAACAAACAAAAAAAGAAACTTCAAACATTAAAACACAGTGTATAAAATGGTGTGAGAAATTTAAGTCACCATACAGCCTTTTAGTCAATAAAAAGCTGTGTTCATGTGTCCTTGTTGTTTGGGTAGTGGCCCATTCTTTTCATTTTACCCAAAAGGTCAATCAAGAAGAGATCTGAGGATAAAGCACTCAGTCCTTGCTATTTTTGACTGAAGTCATTTGGGCCTGTTGTGTTTCTATCACGTAAGATGAATCCTTTCTTTTATTCCTCATTGGTTGAATTATCTTCCAGAGTTGTTATGCTTCCAAAGCCCAGTCCTGTTGAGTTCTGTGCTGCTGAGACTGTAAGTACTGTATGTAAGAGCATTAATACAAGAACACACAGTTTAAGTCTGCTGTTACACAGTCTCGATGCTGATGAAACTGTGAGTGATGTCCTGTGACAAATTGTTGAGCCACTTGTTTTTATAGTCCCTTTGGATTGATGATCTGATAATAGTCCCCATCTGACATCACAGCATTCTGGTTCTGCATTGGTTGGATAGTTTTCATAGAGCCCTGCAGGGTAAATACAAGAAAAAACAACCATCAGGCATCAAAAGACTGGCTGAAGCTGGTAGCACAAAGGAACAGTCAATAGATTAGTCTAAGCAAAGAAATCCACATCTTTGAGAGAGCCTGAGGCCCTCAGAACACTGGCCATTTTGTATAATTAAAGTTGTTGAAGGGATATGCATTATCTAACAGGAAGCAGCGTCATAAAATCATGTAACAGAAGTATGACATTGAGCATGGTTGTGTAAAGAAACAGCACTAAAAAGTAATTATTGATGTTTGAATTATAAAGATATTTGAATTCTTCCTTTCTGGGAAGTAACAACTAATCAAACCAGACATTTCCATAAAACTTGAAAGGATCTTGAAATTATTGATCAGTCTGTGAGCACATACTAGCAATATTACTGCCCACACAAACGTACGCGTTAAATAACAAATAATTGATATACCTACAATATTGACAATATTGATTGTCAAACTAATACAGGTCAAACAGCTGTACAAGAACAGCTTCAAACAGAACTGTGCAGAGTGTACTTCTTTACCCTACCTCAACTGAGGTTCTTCAGCTGGAGTGTTCTTTTCAGAATAACCCAGAGGACAGAATAATCTTTCCCTGCCATGCATCAATCAGATTGCTTGATATGTCTGACTATACATCCAGGCCCTTTCTGCCTTTGGAACTTTACTGAGTTACTCAGACTGATCTGATTATGAATTTTTGAACGATTAGGAATTCCGTCATTTCCAAAAGATGCAACTGTCTTTTTGGAAATTGTCAATGCTGTCTGCATTGCTATATAGGACAGTAACAACCAGAGTATTCCATTTGTTTCTCACATATATTCTTTTCTACTATATTACAAGAACTTAATTAGGCTGTTTAATTAATAGTCACATTCAAGAATCATAGAATCATGGAATCATAGAACAGTTAGAGTTGGAAAGGACAAATACATTTTCTCCATTAATCATAGAATAAATTTTGCCGTAAATACTCTATGGCAGTGCTGGGTTTCAATAGACAAGAGTCCTATATAAACTGAAATATTAGGATAAAGATTTTGAAAGCAGACACATAATTGTTATAATTTATAAATTAACTTCTTGAAACAAGAATTACATTTTGGGTAAAGTATCACAGCAATGAAATGACTTTCAAAAAGCAATGTCTATAAGTTTAGGCATAGCATCCTTAGGTCCAAGCATCAGACTGCTTGTATTTTGTGAATAATCCGTAAAAAAAAGTAGCACACCTTTAAATAAGACAAAACTGAACTCTTTTGTACCTACTTCTATATTACTGATCTGCAACTAAAAAAAAAAAAAGTTCATTGGGTATGCTGAGCATGTTAAAATGGAGATTAAACCTAAACTGGCACTCTTACATAACTGATACAATAGTCTACCATGTTATGTGTTATCCAAGTAAAGTTGCATTTACCTTTTGATTCGACCAAGTTTTTAAAGATACAGGAATGACAACAGCTTGTCTGATTTTCTGTTAAGTCAGGGTTTACTTTGTAGGAAATAAGCCTATTTTTTTGCACCTATGCACTCAGACACTTAAGGCAGAGCACCAGCACTTGAAAATTATTTATTTTCTGTCAGATCATCAATGAATGTACTTCATATTTTTAAGAGATCTCTTTGTATTTTGGAACTTCTGGGCAGTTGTTTATTACAAGTATAATAAAGCAGTCTTATTCCTAACATCATATTTTCTGAGACACATCTTTTGTTGTTTTCTTGCATAAGTGTGTTTTTAAACATGGTAACATACAGGAAGTGCCTCCTAAAGCAGGTAATTTTATGATCGGTTCTGTGACTGCAGCAGCTCAGACTGTTACTGGTAATTGAAGAGACACAGATAATGGTTAATGCTTTGATCACACTCAGGTTTGTTTACTATTCAGACTATATTCCCTGTCTTTCTTGTTATAGGAAAACCCAGATTTCCTTGAAATCAAAGCCTATATGTACAAGATGGCTATCAAAAGGTATTTAAATAGTTCATATGCACTTACTGAATTATAAATAAATTGAAGATAACTTCTCATTCAAAGCTGCATTGAACTTGTTCCTTGATGCAAAACTACATTTCCTCTTTATTTGAATTCAGCAATTGAATTTAGGTTTTGAAATCTCAGTTACATATTTAATAATAAAGTAACTATGGAACCACTATTCATATGACAGTTGCAGAACATTTATATAAATTCAGTCAGAGCTTTTGCACTGAGATTATAAACCTTCATGATTGTGCTACATCACATAGTTGTTTGAAGCCAGAATTACCAGTTTTGGCCCCTTGGATCTAATCAGTCTACTCAGTCAAAGAGTTACAAACGTGTGAAACCCTGGAAAGGTGGCTGCATCAGCCTTGGAAAAACAAGGAGAAAAAACCCTAGTTTGTTCTTTTAAAAAAACATTTTATAAGGATACAGAGTTTGGGGTAAGAAATCAAAAGGGTATCGCCTTTACCCATCAAACCACCAAGGCTTCTTTCTTCCTCTTCTGTCTTTGTAGTTCTGTTTGTAGATATCATTACTTTGTATTACTTGCATGTTCAGAAATTGTATTTTTGAGACTGAGTTGCCAACTGTTACTGGCTCAAAACCTAATTTGCTTTTCCCTTTTCACTTAAAACTCTCTGCTCTGGATCTCCATTTCCCAACTTTTTTCAGCACTCACCCATATTTTGCCAGCAAAAATCTTGGTCCAGGTGGAGGTTCTTGGATGCTGATCTTTATCAAAGATCTAGAATTTGCCAGGATACTGTTTGGTATCAAACCATTCTCCAGGCTGATATGCTGTCACTCATGGAGGTCATGAGGGCTTTTAACCAGCTATTTTTTTCTCATGGAGATAACATTTTGATGATCAACACAGCAGTTATGTCTGTAGGGAATGTGTGCTACTAATGCTGATGAAAGAATTAGGGCTACTCATTTGACTGATATTATGTTAATGGAGACTTGACTGTGGGTAAGTCCCATGTATTCTGCTCAGGTGACTCATACTGGAAGAAAAAGGAGTGACAGCATGAGCGTCATGTTCACTTTGTGCGGAAACAGCTTTGAGGGAAAATCAGCAAACTGCAAATAAGCTTCATACAAGAATTAAAAACAAAAGACTGTCTATGCATGCATTGTCTGCTGATCAGCTAGATCACCAGCTAACTCAGGGAATGCTGTGGTTTCTGTCTGAGCACTATAATTTCATTTGCAGAGGAAGCAGCATGCAAAACAGGTGGTTGCATTTCCACATCTAACCCCAACACTATCAGGATGTGTCATGCTCATAGCTGGATCTGTATCTGTAGCAGTTGGTTTATCTTGGCCTGCTTCTTGATTTCTTTGCTACAGAAAGAGCTATGGAACCATAGTACTCTGCATCAAAGGAAACTGATCTGAAAACTGGTCTGATTGATATATTTATTGTCATTGATGGGTAAGTATTTTGGAAAGCCACAGAAATAAAACAGATCTTGTGGTATGTTATGGTTCTTTCCCATTTTCTTTTTGTAGAACTCTAAACTGTGGTCCTTTTTAGCGTAGATTTCTGATTATTTTGAGAGGCATACCAAGCTTCTTGTGCCTAAAGAAAATACCATGAACTAGAAGAAACCAGATAAGCAGATGTGGTATACCAGAAGTTTTGAATACTTCATTTTATTGTGAAGGCCAAAGTAAATAACGTCTGCCAAGACTGATCCATCCAGCAGTTAACATCATTGTATCAGTGAATGCAAATACTCTGCATGATGTTTGTCCTTCTGAGGAATTATTTCAGAGATTTCAATATTAACATTTTCCAACTACAGAAGGCAAAAGAACACATTAGATATTATATGACTAGATTTCACTGCTTGCTTACATCTGATCTGGCAGCCAGCACTCTTTGGTCTTATGCAGATGGTCCTCTCAACTTCTAAGTGACACATTATGATGCTTCTGTTTAGGCATGTATTTTATACCCTTCATATTACAAAAAGTAACAAAATATAAAAGAAGGTTTAAAGATAAATTATTATTCTTTAGTCAAGCAGATTTTTCTTAAACTGGTGAATACGGCTGTTCAGCTCTTTTGAAAAGGCTAATTTACTCAGACTGTACTCCAGTTGCTGAAGGAGATCTGTGTTGCTGTAGGTTGGTTGGTTATTTAATTTTTTTTAATACTGTATGTTGGTTATTTCAAACAGTTGCCCCTGGAACATTTTCCTGTCTGTATGTGTCCACATTTAAGAAAAATAAATTGTGTTTCCTCACCATGAATGGATCCATCCCCCCCCCCCAAAAATATGTAGAGGACCAAATTCCTCCTGCAGTTGTAAATCAGTATTATAACTATAAAACTGACTGAGCTGCAGAAGAATAAATGAGTAGCTGACTCTCAAGGCTATATAATAAACCTTTTTAGATCTGCTGAGATACAGGATGAGGGTAAGATAACTTGATGCTTACAAGCATTTGGCTTTCCCTACCACACCCCCTTCCTGTTTTGCTTCTATTATGTACAATTTTTTATCAAAAAGATTTACTACTGAGATATGATAGGAGTCATACATATATAAGTACTGTGTTATCATAGAAAGTTCAGGGATATCAATAGGTTGTGTTGTTTTTATAGGAGAAGAACATTTGCAGCTAATAAACTTACTATGACATAGGACCTTATTCATGGGAAAGCCCCAACATTCAAGACTAGAAAAGCACTAAACTAAAAAAGATGAGCTATTAGATTGACAGATTCTGCTTGTAAAACCATGTCAAATTTTCCTTGCAGCCAGATCCACAGTAACGATTTAAACCATGCTTGTCAAACATAAATGGGATTTGTTCTGCTGTCTGTATTAGCTTAGTATTTTGATATTTTAGGACCTACTAAGAGGTGTAGGCAGGAGGCAAATGACACATAATTGCGAGTTATTTTCAGAGCAAGAATTTGGATCAGGTATATACTTTTTTGTCTGTGTTTGCCAAGAACAACATAAAGCA